TCGTTATGGTAATACTTAATCTTACTTATTTCTTTGAGTGTATCGTTCAATGAATTTAGAAGACGAAGGCGGATACGTATAGCCTCGACGTTCGTGGACCGCGCATTGAGTATAATCACTCGTTGGCAAACCCGAGGCTAAATCACTCGTTGGCATTCCCGAGGCTAGTTGCCACGTGTGCGACGATGCGTTTGCTAGCGGATCTGTAGGGAAATACGAGAAAAATTTATGAGTATACCAAAAAGTTCAATTTTCTTTGTGTAGAAAAGTTTCATTCCATAAATTGAATGCCAATAGAAATGCTAAAATAAATTAATCCGAAACTTATTTCCCTCATGAGACGCATCTGCCATGTTATATAATATATTGTTCTGCGATAATATAACAAATAAAATACATTAAAGCTTCCTCCGTTCAATAACAACTGTTGAATGTGGTTCAAGAATTATTTATGCGCAATTAGTTTGCAGAAGAAAAATTCAAGTAACTTCGAAGCACTGAGATGCATTCCCATAAGGAATATCATTCACGAAGTTATCGCTATGATATAATTGGCTGAGTCGCCAGTGGAGCACAATCGCCGGCATAAACATTCGACCTCACGAGGTTAGTTTGGCCGTGTTATTCAATGATTTTAGCAAAGGGAAATATACTTCGTTTTAACAAATATTTGAACATCGAATGCTTCTTCATGACCGAACGATTGAAATGTCCGCGGCTGTTGGACAAAGACGCCTCATCAAGCCGCTGTTGCCGATATAGGGCAGCAGTAATGCCTAAACATTGCCTTGTAAATCAATTAGAGTTTTGTGGACTGATGTTGTGAGTTGCCGAAACTCACAAGCAGGCATTCACACGGGTAAAGGCCCGTTCACACCAGGGGCAACACACGGCGTCAAGCGCCTCCCCGCCCCTCTACGTGCGCTTCTTGTGTTCACTATGGCAACCAACGCCACACTTGTTTGTACTCGCTCTCTAGTAGAGAGCCTAATTAATCATTGTGGAGAGCATGAATGCCTGTAGAGTTCAGTCAATGGGGTGTAAAAGTCCACTGGCAGTCTAGTATAATTTTGAAAGTCTGATGCATTCGCAACTGATAATTCTTTGAAAATGTAATTGTGTAAATCCGAACAGCAGCACACCCGAGAACAATGGCCCAGAGCTCAAATTCGGTTATATCCATCTCCACTGACGTCTTATTAACAGGCATCTATCTAATCTTCAAAGCGCGGTCTCGAGCTACAGTGAACAAAAATAAGTGTTAACGGTCCTTAGGTCTTCGCTTCATCTAGCGACATCTTAACCCTAGATGGTTCAAATGGCAGGGGGGACCAAAATTTATACTTACGGTAATTCCTGACGTTTCACTTAGAATAGTTGTTGCGACATATGCATGACTACTGAATACCTCGGCAAATGAAGAGCCTGCGCAGGCAATTGTATCCCAGACTGAACTATTTTCACCCCCCTCCCCCGTCGCCACAAGCATTATAGCGCCGCTCAGTTCAGTATCACGACTACGAGTACATAATAATAGGTTGTGAGTTTGTTGATTTATTTAACGCTAACTCACCCCGGAATATAAAAAAAATAGTAATTATTAAGCAGGTCTCCTTCTAGCCCACCACATGCTGTAAAATTTTTAGTGCTATAATGAATGTATCCAATAAGATTTATACAGACTGAAAAAGTCATGAAATACTTCTTACATATTATTATTCAGTTACATGAAAAACACCCGCATTTTCAAGTGAGCAATAAAAATAAATGATGACGTGCGATGAGGGTTTGAATTTTAATGTGGAGTTCACCTTTCGTGTAGATAATCGAGTACCTCTCAGATTAAATTTTCTGGGTCGAATTTCCTAAAATGCACATGATAATTAAATATATTTCTGTAATGGCTTTATCGTGTGGGAATATTCTATTATATGAACATTAACATGCAGTTTATGATCATTCGTGTTACCACTAATTAAATGATCAAAACGCTCGAGAAATAGTACGATATCAGTCCAGTACTGAAATAATAATCATTAGCGAAGCAAATATCCCATTTCGTTTTGTACTTCTTCATGACCGGAAGATAAGAAAATCAGCGGCTTCTTGGATACGGCGCCTCGTGACGTAATTTATTAATGGGAGATAGCACTAGCGATGCCTACCTTATTACTTTACTTTATTATATCTAAAAATCTGAAAAAGCTATTTCTGGCTGTGAAAATATAATAAGTAAATATAATTAGTACGCCTCAGTAGGTGGTTCAATGTATATTCAATTGGGAAAAGTAATTCCTATTCCGTCAATTTAAATTCTTTAACATCTAATCACCGTACTAAAATCTCTCTGCCTATGGTTGGTTCGAAATCATGCAGGAGATTGCTTATTACTGATAACTCGCTGACCTTTTCATAACGACTACAGAACGAGTTGTTGCCAAATACAATACAAATTATTTGTTGGACATGTATCAATGAATAATTCTATTATTTTGTCAGTGTAGTCATGATACGCCACTCATCTGCACGAGGACTGTGATGGCGGCAGTGATAATAGTTCAGTTTGTGATAAAATGACTTCGATGACACTTCAGATGACCGTAGTGTTCAGTAGTTAGTTATATAATGTCTGAATTATTCACTTTTTCGTCATGAATAAATTGTCAACGTAGAAATATATATTAAATTTTGAAGCTCTAATGCTTAATTATTAGTGATGAGGATTATGAAGAAGTTGGATAAGATGTTAGATCCATTGTTTTTCAGGGAGTGCATCCTCTGTGGGCAATTCTGACCAAGGGTTACACGTCTCCATTTGATTTATTAGACAGTCGCCGCCTCGTGAGGCGCCTGTGTCGGACGGGTGCCTTCCTCAATCGCGTGGCCATTTAAAAGCATCAAATTCCCAATCAATTCAGTTGAAAAAAATTCAACCTGAGAATGACAACATTTCGCTGCAAAAAAATGACCCTGGAACAATGCTGGAACCCAGTACATCAGTTTCAAACAAAACAATTTAATTTAATTTAAACTCATTTTAGATCTTAAACGAATAAAATTTCTTCACTATTTGTGATAATTTCAGAACAGAATTTTGGAATTTTTTATCATGCATTGAACGTCTTGATCGCTCCGTTGCTGGTGGCAACAATAATATGCATGTTAAAATGTTGCTGGACGTGCAGTATAAGTTAGGCTTTCTGGATGCATGCATCAACAATATCATCATTATTGTTACTGCAGCTTTTTTCCTCCTCAAATAAAGTACAGGGATTGGCGACAGGCAGTTCAATGCTGATGATCCAACACCCACCACCGTGTGCACAAAGATCGAGTAAATGTAACTGAATTGCTACGATTGCTATATTAGAAGTTAGTGTCAGTGAACCGATTTGACATTTGACTTCATGTTATTATCCACGTTGACTGCACTCAACTGACAGATTCGATGTGACAATGGGCAGTTTGATTACAAATTAAACTTTTTTAAGCCAAGATGAGATTAGTAATCAATGATGTGGGCCACCAAAGTACATAAAATTCAATTACTTATTTAGGAATTTTACCGATGTTCAATAATTAATCGAGTCGCCCCTGCAGCACAACCGCCGGCACAAACATTCGACCTCACGAGGTCAGTTTGGTCGAGTTTTTGACGATGAGGAATGCCATCGGCAACAATTTCCTTGTTTTTAATGCGATCTGTACAAGGAAGTTCGATTTTGTTCTAATTTTACGAGAGAAAGTTCATGGTTTTTTTAATATTAATAGCGATTTCTGCCACCGATTTTTAACATCGCAGAATTTTTATAGCTTGTTAAGATATCAAACACGTAATTCGCTGCTCAAATTTTGCTTTACTCAACTCAACTGCCTCTCTTACAACCCTGACTGTAACCACGAGGCCACCCTGTCCACCATGCCTTTTACGGAACATTTCAGAATCCCAATTATGCCGCTTGAAACAACGCCTCCGTCCTCCATATTTTTGGGTCGAAATTGAAATTGTTGATCAAACCTCAAGACGGACCAATTGGAACAAAATGCACGACTGATGAGTTTAGAATGATTATTTTACTGACTGGGGCGACTGCTTCGCCAGCTGCTTGATCCCAACAGCATCCGCTGGACTCTCCCCCGTCTTTAATCCGTCAATTATAACTGTTCGATGCCACTGTTAATTAAGTGCGCCACGACCCACCAGTAGACTGCAGGGCCTTTTTCCGAACAAATTATACTTTTGGCCTTTTTTATTGCGTTTTTGGACAAAAATTTATGATGGCAGTACTATATCCTCAGTGAATTTTCTAATGTACAGAAAATGAAAATTTAATTTTTACAGCGGAACGTACAAATTGACAGGCTTATTTTGAATTATTGGCCTTTTTATTCGAGGACTTGGCCGTTTTCAGGCCATCTGCCAGCGCTGGTGAGTCGAGCCGCACTTGACGTGTTAATTCTTTATTCAATTTTTTCTTCTATTAATTTTATATCTAATTTATTAGCGTTTCGAATTATTTTCCAAACCAAAAATAAAAAAACGGAAACTGCTAACACTGATGCAGTGGGTTGGCAGTACATAACTAATGGCGTTCTGTACGTGGTTGGCAGTATATAATCACCGGCTCCACGGCCTTTATTTTTGACTGGGTTATGCAGGCGATCGGGATTTACAATAATTTCGCGATTAATTAGGCTTCACTTGGTAGATTTCCAGCAGGAAAAGTTCGATCACGATTGGTATTTTGCGTCTGTCCATTTCCACCCACTTCTGAAACCTAAAAGCGAATTCTGTTTTAATAATGGACTAATTTAAATATGAAATTAGCCGGTAATTTGAGTACCTATTCTACAGAAATGGGCTGTAGAACATTCATGTAATCGTAGTGCTTATCACTCAATGTAATTATTGTTGTGCTTATCACTTAACATTAAGTACGAGGTATATAGGATTGTGTATTTTTAATAAGGCTCATCGCTTTTCTCAGTGAGTAGGATGAGCAGCGCCACGCTCATCAGTCGGCCGAGGCTGGCTCGACCACAGGGGCTGGTGAGCGATGAGATCGTTGACTACATCAACGCCAACGTCCAGCCCGACAACATCAGGGAAAACCTCAGGTCAATGTCAAGCTTTCGACCAAGAAATGGTGTCATTAATCAGAATTTTCAACAGTAAAATTGTAAATTTTACAAATTTCCACTAGAATATAAGAAAACCTTTGAGTATTGAATTTAAAAAACGTTAAGCATTCAAGAAAGCCTTCACGATTTGCAATACACGGAATTATGATTCATCACATTTATAATAATGTATTCCTTCGTGGCAAATTTTTATTTTTTTTTAATATTATTCAGTAATTTAAATTACTGCATCGAGCACTGAATGATACAAAATTAGACTGAGTTTCGTTACAGGTTTCTATCGTCGAAGCCTCACTAGGCCGGGACGGCGGCTGAGGCTGAAACAGCGCAATGGGTGGCAGGAATGTTTCGCGAGTACGGCTTGGATGATGTCAACATGGCGTCCTACTCCGTCCTACTATCCTACCCCGACGGTCCTAACATGGTCAATATCTAACTATGTTGATCATAGTTGTCTGCTTATTCCATTATATATATTTTTATATTTATAGTAATAAATTTTTCTGGTTTAAGCTCCACGTGCAGCTTCTGCAATATTGAGTAATGGCTCTTACGTCACACCAAATTTCGAAAAATTACTTCGGAGCTGCAAATTCCATTGACCTTGCCGTGAACTTTTTTTCAGTAAGACCTTCGAAAAAAACGAGTCCGATGATTATCATCTACGCAGTCAAACTTGAAATATAATCACCTAACATATTTCATGCATCTTAATGTAACATTGTTATAAAATTTCATCAAATAACTTACGATGGGCATATGATACTGCGTTTATTAATGCAGCGTCGGAAAATTCCTGTTGAAAAATTGTCACAAGCGTCAAAAAATTTGAGTTGCGATTTAAAAAAATCCCCTGCATCGACCCTAGCTATGGTTGTGGGTTGGATGCTCTGGTATTTTTTTTTAATTGCCAGATCTGAATACACATGTGAAAAGTTGAATGTTCAACAGATGGAATTAGCAGTGAGGGCAGGGATCGGTGTAAATAATTACTAGTTCGCAAATTTCGGATCGAACTGATATCGTCTACAGCTAACTAAATCACTCATCCTCCTGTTGATAGGTTCGACTAGTAGATGCGGAATCAGGTTTGGTTTTGGCAGAATCTTCGCCGAAACAGCCGCCGCTCTACGCCCCCGAGGAGAGTCGAGACGATGTGCCTTATTCCTTCAACGCGTACGCCGCTCCCGGCAACGTGTCGGTGGGTAGCCAACTTTTTAACTTCTAGACATTTTTTGTTAGAATTCAAATTCTAAAAAAATTACTGGGAATTAAATAAAAAAAGATGCAAACAATTGTATTTGTATTAATCGAACAATAAATATAATAATTAGCTATACATCATCGTATCCTCCACAACAATTGTTAATTTCATTCAATTAAAGTCACATTAAGAAAGATCTTATACATACATACAATTTAAGATGAAATCTAACTCATCAATTTTAAACTCCTTCTTTTAGCTGCCAAATTTTGAGTAGTTTTTTTATTATGAAGTTAGTACATCCTGCAACCCCGAGTGTGGACTTGTACGAAGATCATATTTATTAGGGAAGCTTTTAAAGCATCTGTGTATATATCGTCGTCGCAGGGGCGTGTGGTGTACGCTAACTACGGCAGGCAAGAGGACTTCAATTATCTCGTGGCAAACGGCATCGACATCGCCGGCAAAATTGTCATTGCGAGATACGGCATGATCTTCAGAGCAAACATAGTGAGAATACGCCATAATAATAATATTTCATGCACCAAAGTAAAGCTCAAAATTTCATGTATGCAGATTATTATGCGATATTTTCCCGCTTGGTTTACGTACAGTTCATGTAGAAATAACGATTAAAAAATCATCCTCGAACGAAAGCTACATTCTAGTTAACTTTCGTTATTAGTTAAAAAATCCACCCCCGAAAATCAAGAAAAATTTTCTTTCATAAGTAAACACAGAAATATATTCATACAGTCTCCAGCCTTCGTTTGCAGTGTTTCACTTGAGCCTTTCCCTTGCTGCAATTCTTCCCCTACAGGTGAACTACGCGGAGGCGCTGGGTGCAGCGGGAGTGCTTCTGTACACGGACCCCGCAGACTTTGCTTTGGACGGCCAGGACGCTGTTTACCCCAGCACCGTGATGATGCCACCCTCAGGCACCCAGCAGGGCACTGTCAAACTGACAGACGGAGATCCTCTCACTCCATTCTACCCGTCTATTGGTGAGCTATTTTCTCACCTGAAGGTATACTGTCAAACTGACAGACGGGGAGCCTCTCACTCAGTTCTACCCGCTCATCACCGTGCTCTTCTCCACCCACCTGAAGGTACTGTAATACTGACAGACGGAGATCCTCTCACTCAGTTCTACCCGTCTATTGGTGAGCTATTTTCCCACCTGAAGGTATACTGTCAAACTGACAGACGGAGATCCTCTCACTCCGTTGTACCCGTCTATCCGTGAGCTCCTCTCGACGACCATCTAAACCCCTTTCTACTCATCTATCTTTGAACCCTACCGGAGCCGTTAGGTATTGTCGAGCTTATGGGTCCAATTGTTTGCTGGTGCATTGATTCATTTAAGAGAAACATTTGAATTCGATGTTGAATGAATTTAAGCGTCATCACTCATCTTATTAAAATTGTTGATAGCACTTTTCCGTTTCAGAAAGTGCGTTCCATATTCCGGAAGAAGAAGCGGCGATTCCAAAAATTCCTGTGCAGCCTCTGAGTTACGAGGACGCGTACTTTGTGCTCAAGTAAGCAAAATATCACATAAATGCAGTTTTTATGCAACTGAGTACTCAATGTTTATAAGAATCTTTACCTATTCAATGTGATCGCCAGTTCTTCGATGATCGTAATATGCTTTGGGTACAGGAATTGACTCCCAGAATGTCCATTGGTAAGAAAAGAATTGAAGACATCGCATCCAGGCTAAGAAGAGCAAAGTCAGGGACTTCTGTTGGTCTGCTGCCCTTCGATGGGTTGGGTCTATTTAACAGACGGTTTCGTCCATTGTTTTTCTTTTCATTCGTATCGACAGTAGTACCATGCTATAGCGACTTTCAAGACGTTGACTTATTACAGGAAAACTTTTGCTCGTGTTTAACTTCTGTTCTCATTATTTCTGCTACCGTCGTCTTCCAACTTCTTAATTCCATATTGAGACGACTACTAGTATAGAGATAATATTTATATTTTTTGTAAATTTCTGCCTTTTTATTGCTGTTTTTGTCATTGATTCAGTTGTTTCGCCGAATAGAGGACCTATTTCTTACTGTCCAACTTTCATACCTAGCGAAATATTACGGGTCAGTGAAGCCCCATGTACACTTTCCAATTGAAATGTAATAAATAAATCATTTTCGATGGTTTTGGAACCCGACTTATAAACAAGGCAATTTTTTCGTTGAGTGATCTAGACGACTCAGCCTAAGCCTAAACAATCATATGAACGAATTCCAGCCTAACTTGCTGCAATGGATGAATAGTTATTGAACGGTAATAATTTTCAAGTGGAACATGTGTTACTTTATTAATATAAATTTGATGCGTCCAGTTCACTAGGAGGACCAGAAGTGCCCGTGGCCTGGCGAGGGGCACTGAACATAACATACCGCGTGGGGCCCACCCAGCTCGCCCGCTACGTCAACATGGAAGTGCACACCCACAACGTGCCCGCCGTCATACATGACGTCATCGCCGTGATACGCGGTGCAGAGGAGCCTGGTGTGTGACGTGTTGTTATCTCAGACTTACGTAATTTGATCTTGTTCATTCCAGGAAATAGAATCTTAATTTTGAACATCAAGGTATGAAGTCTTCTTCAAAATATTTTAAGGTGAGTAGCCTGTTGAATCGTAGAAGTATTTGAGAAATTTATGTTAGTCTTTCAAAAATGGTCTATGATGTTTCTCATTAGATTATCTGACGCCGTATTCGTCACCAGATAATTGCATCCAGTTGCTCTCATTAACTCATCGGGTAGTAGTTGTGCTTTGGATAAATATAGCGCTGTCAAAAATATACGATCCCTAAATTAAACTAAAACTTCCATTTTAGTTAGAAAAACGCATGTCTGACCTAAATTTCAGATATTAGCATTTTGCTTATAACTTATCGTAAGGTAAAACTGCAAGTTAATTTTTTTATAGCCTATCTTCATTCATTCAAGTTCCATCTAATTCGGAAACTTTGCATCGTAGAAATTATTTTCAGAATTTTTTGTACCACAGGTCTTTCAAATTTATTAGACCGTCGCACCTCGCGATGTCTACGTGGTCTTCCTCGTTCCGAATATTTTTTATTATGATATATAAAGTCATGTTGCACTATGTCTCTCGCGAGTACATTCTATGAGTACGTACACAGTGAAAGCAGGTTTGCCCGCGCGGGCAACCTGCTCCAACCTGCCACAAGAATGAACATAGGATAATAATGTAAGTGTTCGCAGTGAAAACCTGTACGAATAGGCTTCTGTATTCTATGGTTTCAGGCGCCAGCCAGCACGCTGGCAACCTGCTTTCACTGTGTGCGTACCCTTAGTCTCTCTTATTTGTATTGGTAATTTCTTGTTTTTTTTAAATAAATGTATAATATTATTGTTTGCCCGGTCAGACCGGTATGTAATTCTGGGCAACCACCGCGACGCTTGGATCTTCGGCGCCATCGACCCGTCCAGCGGCACCGCCGTCATGGTCGAGCTCAGCAGGGTGCTCATGCGCATGCGCAACGAGACTGGTGAGAATACAGGGTGCTCATGCGCATGCGCAACGAGACTGGTGAGAATGCAGGGTGCTCATGCGCATGCGCAACGAGACCGGCGAGAATACAGGGTGCTGATGCGCATGCGCAACGAGACTGGTGAAAATACGGGGTGCTCATGCGCATGCGCAACGAGACTGGTGAGAATACAGGGTGCTCATGCGCATGCGCAACGAGACTGGTGAGAATGCAGGGTGCTGATGCGCATGCGCAACGAGACCGGCGAGAATACAGGGTGCTGATGCGCATGCGCAACGAGACTGGTGAAAATACGGGGTGCTGATGCGCATGCGCAACGAGACTGGTAAGAATACAGGGTGCTGATGCGCATGCGCAACGAGACCGGGGAGAATACAGGTTGCTCATGCGCATGCGCAACGAGACTGGTAAGAATACAGGGTGTCCGCGCGCATGCGCAACGAGACTGGTGAAAATACGGGGTGCTCATGCGCATGCGCAACGAGACTGGTGAAAATATAGGGTGCTCATGCGCATGCGCAACGAGACCGATAAAAAACAGGGTGCTCACGCGCATGTGCAACGAGACCGGTGAAAATAATGGATGATCATGCGCATGCGCGAGACCGATGAAAATACAGGGTGCTCACGCGCATGCGCAACGAGACCAGTGAAAATAAAGTGTGCTCACGCGAATGCGCAACGAGATTGGTGAGATTACAAGGTATTCTGATCACACAGCATCTATTCTAATCCATGCGTCGATTATTCTGTAAGCATGATCTGTATTCTCAACACGAAAACTCCCACCAGTCATATGACGTTCAAATAACGTCGAATAAACGTTGTTTCGACGTCATTTACGTAGAAGGTTTACAGTATCAACCTGACGCGTGTTGGCTGCACTCGATGCCACAGGCTGGCGGCCGCGTCGCTCAGTCGTGTTCTGCTCGTGGGCGGCGGAGGAGTACGGGCTCGTAGGCTCCGTCGAGTATACGGAGCAGTTCAGGACGCAGCTCCACAGCAGAGCCGTTGCCTACCTCAACATGGACCTGGCTTTGCTTGGTGGGGTCCTGCAATGTAATACGTTTTGTTATCTACGTAATAAAATTTTTATTATTTTAATGTTATTTGTTGTTGAATGAACAGCTAATGGTTTGTTTTCATTTTAATTTCAGCAATCTTCTTTGTTTTATTGTGAACCAATGTCAAAGACAACTTTTTTAGTTTTTTTCTTAATACATGTTGCAATAAAAACATCAAATATGCATATTTGTAGTCTGTTCTTTTCGCTGATGTGAAAAATCAGGATTGTTGTCAGTTTATTATCGGCGGTCGAAATTACGATTCATTATTAATTGGCAAACGAAATTACTATTCCCAAATAATTAAAGTGTCTGACAGGCAACTACTCCCTGAAGGCGAGCGCTGCGCCGCTGCTGTACGAGGTCGTGTGGGAAGCCGCCAAGCTTGTGAGACTCCAACATCATTACGAATTGTCGTTCATTATCATTATCATCATTAGTACCCTCATAACCACTCTTAGAATTGAAAATGAAAATAATGTTCAAGTAATGGAGTTTATCTAGCTCTAGTTATTGGCATGTGAACACTAAATATGTCTAACGAGGGATTATAGCCTGGCAATGGCAACATTGGAAACGCATATTAAATCTTCATACATTTTTTGTAATTTAGCTCACAAAATTCCATTAAATATCAACCGCTGACTTTGTAGGCAAAATATTTCATATTATCACTGAGTCTCTGCCATGCAGTAAATTTCAGACTAAAAATTTTTGAACATGCAAACCTAATTATTCCTTTGTAATTTAGTTTAAAAATACTCGTACTTAGTTTATGTAATACAAGCCTTATAGAACTGTGCACTCTTTCAATTGCGGTTGTATCAATCAAAAATTCGGCGTCATATTACAACAGCAGAGCATACAAACGCTGTTTCAAAACCGGTAAGCTTATGCATAGTTGAACTAATATTAATAATATGATAAAATATTAGTTCAACCACCTTACCAAGGGCTTATGCAGGTGGCCAATCCTGACGCTACCGAGGCGGCTGCCGGACGGACGACCGTGTACGACACGTGGCTGGCGCGCAAGCCCGACCCAGTCTACTCTACACGTCCGCAGTAGGTGCATGTATCTAGCCTTATGGGGTATGGCTAACGTTTTTAATGCCATGTGCTGCATATTGTGTATCTCATGCATGCGTATTTATTTAATGCACAGATTAAATAAACATATATGAATAATAATGAATGAATTTCCTAGTAGGCAGAAGACAACGTGTCAGCATTAATGGAACCGTATCAGACTGGGTAACTGTGCGAAGTGGCGTACCGCAAGGAAGCGTTCTTGGACCTGTTTTGTTCGTCTCTTTTATAAACGATCTACCAGAAGTAGTGTCAAGCGTGTGCTCCATGTATGCCGATGACACAAAAGTTTATAATACAGTTAAGGATGCGTCAAATAAAATGCAACTGCAAAATGATCTTGATAGTTTAGTTGACTGGGCTGATGCGTGGCAGCTGCGTTTCAATGCTGACAAGTGTAAAGTACCTCACCTCGGCAAGAACAATGAACAGCAAGCTTACATCATGAGAAGACACGGTTGCAACGAGAGGGTTATGATTGAGAAGTCTTGCGTGGAAAAAGATCTTGGAGTTTGTGTCGACAGGGAGCTAAAATTTTATAGGCATATTGAAACGCAAGTTAATACATCCAATAAACTGCTTGGGCTGATCAGACGCTCCTACGAGTACCTAGATATAGAAATGATGAAGCTGTTGTTCACCTCTGTCGTGCGCCCAAACCTAGAGTTTGGAAACGTTGTGTGGTCACCGAGACTTGAAAAGGACAAAAATTTAGTTGAGAGTGTTCAAAGACGTGCAACAAGGATAATACCAGGATTAAAGGGCAAGTCTTATGAAGAAAGATTGAAGATTATGAAGCTTCCCAGTCTCCGTTATCGTCGCCTGCGTGGTGACCTCATTGAAGTATACAAGTATACTCATGGTTTGTACAAGGTCCCAGAAGAATTACTAGAATTTGAAACAAGAACCAACACCAGGGGCCACAGCTATAAACTAAAAAAACTGCGGTGCAACTTATCCACGCGACAACATTTCTTCTCGCTTCGAGTCACTGACATGTGGAACAGCCTCCCTGAAGATATTGTTGACGCTCCGAGTATGAACGCGTTCAAGAACAGACTAGACAAGGCCATGCATGAGCATATGTTCAGTCTTAAAATGCCTCGTACCCTACGGAACAACTGATATGTAGAAGCGATTTTAAATCTACCGTCCGTAAGGCCAGTCTAGTCAAGAAAAGTACAAGAATCGGCGACAGGCCTATCCAGGCCTATTCTTTAATGCCGAAGATACTATACTATACTATACTAATAATTTATTTAGGACTTCACATGTTAAATATAATGCATAATGACAATAGCATTATATTTTATTATCAGTTTTCGTTCTTATCTATTGCATTTATTGATGCAAAAATATTTCATTTTCTATCCATTAATATAAAATAATATCTAATAGTATAAAATAATTAACTTATTTCGTATGAATATTAACAATAACGAACATGCACTGCTATCCTTAACGTTCCAGACAACGTCATAGAAATTGGTTTGTGTAAATTGGTTTGTGCAAACATCTAATTTAACCTTAATTTAATTTTATACCGGTAATTGGTTTGTGTAAACATGTCTTAATGGAAACTGAGGCTTTCTGAATATTACATAAAATTACATATATTTTCATTTCTGACAAAATAAATTTTTAACTTAGTATTGTTTTCTGTCGCGTCAAGTTTTTTGAACAGATTACAACTATTTTTACCATGTTATTTTGGTTAATCGTGGTCGCCAACGAATTTTATGAGAAATTGTATTTTCAGATATAACTTCCTACATAGTAACTTAAATTTTACGTGTGAATTCCGAAGATTTTTTCCCTAATCTGGACATTTCAATTATTAATTTTCATTTCATTTAGTAAAATTATCCTCCAGTTAGTCGCTTATTAAAATATCCTACCTTGAATGTTGTAATTCATCGGTGCATTACCATCCTCATGAATACCACTCCTCGACCTACCTCTACTAATTTAAGCTCAAAAGCGAGTCAACTATTTATAGGCTTTTGTAAATATTGAAACGTTTTTAATAAAAGACCACGGTCGAATCAACATTCTTGTCTCATGTAATTAATGAATTAGGTTCAGTCTTATCAAGCATTGCAGGAAGAGTCAGAGCTTCGTAAAATTGATCGTATCCAGCATATGATAATTTTTTACTATCCGTCTTGTTGGTGACTCTGTAGCGGTCCAGTTTAATATTTAAAATTTTGTATAAAATAATAAAAATATTTAGAAATTTAGAACTAGATTTAATTGTAATATTAAGATTTGTTTATATCTGAACGTAACCACAGCTGAATACGACAATAGCCAACTTCATTCCAGCTTTTAGTATTTTTGATACATTGCACTAGAACCCCTGCACTAGAAATACCTATTACACTCCAGCTACTGGTTCAGGTCTAATTCATAATAACAGGGCCCAGCACTTTTTTGGAAATATGGCCTTTCTCGCGAGGGATGCTCCAATGCGTGTTAAGAATTTTCGAAAATATGACCAATTTTGTGCCATCGCTGCTACGAAATGCAGTATTTGTCCCGTGTTTTGTTATGCCTCTTTTTTACAGGGTTGAATTGCTGGGGTCCGGTAGTGACTACAAAGGTTTCCTGTACAACCTCGGCATTCCGAGCCTCGATATCTGTTACAATCATGACGAGGTGAACATTAATTCGTGTATACAGTTTAACATAATAATTATAAAATAGTTTACTCATTTAAGAATCCAGCAAACTCGTTCTTAACGTTTACTGTCGGAGTTCAAAAAAAGTTAGTTTGTGCCAAATTAAAAATACTGTTCAATAATCGATATTGTTGTTTAACAACATCAAAAATATTTGGAAATTAAGACGTTCTTTTATTCTGCGTGCTGTCATCCTATTATATTGTACATAGATAATATTTCATCTGAATGAAAACAAATCTTATTTATATATTTAATGTGCTATTTGAGATAGCTGGCCTTTGTTATCGTGTATTCCATTGAAATTTATTTGATTTCTTTTTCATATTTAATTGCGAATCACTTGCACTTCCATAAAGCGCAAATTGCTTGCCTTAAATAGATCGGATATAATCCTTCTATGGGTAGCAAACATGTATTTAGGATGCAATTCCACACTTAGGACCGAACTAATTTTCTTCCTATTTTATGTAATCAAGATTTCTGTCGTGAAAATCCAAATCTTGATACGGATACGAAATATAATACTGTAAACTAAACACTATTTGGATTTTAAATATAAATTGTCAATGTCTATAATAAAATTTATTTCACATATAATTATACTCGGATCTCTGCGAGAGCTATTGAGTTATTTTACTTTTTATTCTCTGGGGCATCTTATTGCAACCGTTCTTGTATTTTGGGGCATCTTATTGCAACCGTTCTTGTATTTTGGGGCATCTTATTGCAGCCGTTCTTGTATTTTGGGGCATCTTATTGCAGCCGTTCTTGTATTTTGGGGCATCTTAATGCAGCCGTTCTTGTATTTTGGGGCATCTTATTGCAGCCGTTCTTGTACCTTCTCCTCATAGAGCGTGCCAGGCTGGTACCCACTCTACCACTCCCTCTACGAGACCTTCGCTGTCGTAGACGAACTCTACGACCAGGGCTTCTTGTTCCAGGCCGCCCTCGCCAGGGTCTGGGGGCTGGTTGCCGTCTCTCTGTCTGACCCGCAGGTCTGTTTTGTAATGACTTCGCTAGACCCTGAAATCTCTGTCACACAAATATATATCTTATAGTCTGAGATCTATAGCCATTGTCACTGTGCTCTTTGTAGGTTTTTTCTCCCCCTGAGATATATAAACCTTCGATTTATTGTCCTATCCAGGAAAACAAGCGTATTATGCCATGAGCAGTTCATCGTAAGCATATGCGTATTTTCATCCTTTGACAGCGTTTTCATATTGTCGGTCAGACAAGACCATATTGGCAATGTAGGTTGAACCATAATTGAGCCCAAAACTAATTTTTGAACAATTTAAAACCTATTGATCTTAGAAGCACAATTACATTATCGGTTTTGAGAAGCACAGTTATACTGGGCAAAAATATTATTATGCTATTTGCACTTTTAACACCTAAATCTTATTTCACGAGGAGGCATCTATAAATTATCAAGTTTGTTACGAAATCATATATGTGCAGCAAAAATGATATCTAAGGAGCCAAAGCCATTTATACATAAGAAATAAATTCATACAAATAACATTGCGAGGATATATAAATAACATTACGAGGATATATAAATAACATTACGAGGATATATAAATAACATTACGAGGATATATAAATAACGTTACGAGGATATATAAATAACATTACGAGGATATATAAATAACATTACCAGGTTATATAAATAACATTACCAGGATATATAAATAACATTACCCGCAGAAAATATATCGATCATGTTACTGTATTTGCTAAACAAACTGGCCCGCAGTCGGTTTGCCATGGGGAGGTTTCCTGCGAATCAGCAAGTATCGTTAAAAATTCGACATGTAACAGGTAACATCCAGACTATGTATTGTGAAAGTACACTCGAATATTCAATATATGAAGTGTCAGGCTCAAATTGAATTGAAGTGCCGCAAACCAACAACAAAAAAGCTTTCATATAATACCTTGACGTTGCTCCGACCACGTATTTCATGCCATTTCAAAGTGGTGTTATCCATAATCCTGTCATTGCGAATCCTTCATGCATATTCATGCATCTTCCCGTCATCCAGTATTCAGATAATAATTTAAAAAAAAATTTACGTTGTTAGAAGAATGCTCTGTTTCAACCAACGTTAGTACAAAACTCAAATTTAGCTCTCATGTAGTTTGAAACTCGAAGCAGGCTTGATTTTTTCTCTTTAAACAAAATTTAAATTTACCGAAGTAAAAATTACATTTCAATTTCATCATAATTCGTCCTCCCTGCTACCTGTTCTGAACTGCCGAATAATTCAACCAACAACAACTAAATTTCAGTTCTAACAGTTAACATCCCGTCACCAAAGACACTGTGGAAACTCGCTCGAAACTCGTCAGTGTCAAGCCTCTAATAAACTTCCAAAAATATATTTTATATTTGTTACTTTGATTTAATGCCCTCGAAATAAAGAGGCGTTTTGCATGCGCATTTACAGTAGTTATTGCATGGGAATTTTTCCTGGCGATGACGTTATATTTTTAAATGCGGAGTCATGATGTATTGAAATGTACATTTATCCAAAATAAGAAGAAAATTTTGCTTTCCTTTAAAAAAAAACTGAGTATTATGTACTGGAACAGACTTTTTTAACTACAGTACTGTATTTACAAATTTAGTTAACGAATTTTGGGAGACGAGTTTCACAATAACGGGAATCTCAAATTGCAATGATTCTTCCCGAGAAATGCCCGGCTAACCTGCTGCTTTTGTTATGTATTAATTGAGCTAAATAATTTAGCATAACGTGAAAAGTATTCATTAATAAATAAAGTTCTTATAAACTTCAACTGAAAAAAAAAATGAAATTTCACAACACGTTCCATCCCAGCAATCGGCTAGAGTTCCTAATTTATTCACTACCGTTTGCACGATGTCACTGTTCACTGTGTGCACGTTATGTCACTGTTCACTGTGTGCACGTTGTGTCACTGTTCACTGTGTGCACGTTATGTCACTGTTCACTGTATGCACGTTATGTCACTGTTCACTGTATGCACGTTATGTCACTGTTCACTGTGTGCGCGTGGTGGCCTGAAGAAAAGTTCTGATACGCGCAGCTGTTGCCGCTGTCACTGCAGGAGTATGCGCTCTTCATCAGTGACGTCCAGCAGCAAATCTTGCAGGACTTCGGGCAACTGATGACCGACAACAACAGAACCTTTGGTAACTAGCCTATAGTGTAGAGAATATTCGGTCTGCTGATGATCGACAACAACAGAACCTTTGGTAACTAACCTATAGTGTAGACTGTAGAGAATATTGGGTCAACATGCAGATGACCGACAACAACAGAACCTTTGGTAACTAGCCTATAGTGTAGAGAATATTCGGTCTGCTGATGACCGACAACAACACAACCTTTGGTAACTAACCTTGGATACAATAATCGGAATTAATTAATTGACTTTGCATCACGGTCGATTACTAAGAACTCTCCCGCATCACCTCAATTCTCACCTCAATATTATCTTAATTAATGACCGATGACAATTTAGCCTCATCACCTGTGACTTCACCATATTTTATGAAGATGCAGTCACGTCTTAGAATTTTTAAAGTCTGTTAATCTCCTTGCTTGTACATTCGTAATTAACGGTGCTAAATATTTATTCTTCCGTCTCGCAGATCATTTCCTAGACGCTGGTCGGTCGTTTTCTGCTCGCGTCGACCAATTCACTCAAGAGCTCCTCTTCGTCGACCTTGATGAGTGAGTTCTCAAAATTGTCGAGTATAAAACTTCAGAAATGAAGTATTTTACATAATTTCGCCAACACCCAAAATACGGGAAAATAATCTCAGTAATCAAATTATACAAATCTAGATAATTTTATTTTGCAGCGATCTTGCCGTGCGACGCGTCAATGACCAGCAAATGCTGGTGGAGAGATCATTCCTGGACCCTCAAGGCCTGCCGGGCCGGGCTGACTTCAAGTGAGAGATTCACCAATCAGTAATATTCTTATATATCAATCAATCATATCTTAGAAGATCATCTCAAGGTACATGCTGAGATTTAAAACACAGCATGATTTTCTGAACATCCAGCCTTCGCTACCTACATACTTTCATTTCGTTTTGTGTTATTTATTCTCCGGCGCTGATTGTACGAGGTAGCAAGCTGTGGGGTTATGTATGGTTATGACGATGAAAATCTCTTTGTCTTGATTCATGCAAAGGAACGAAGATCATATTTTACCAGTAGTCCTACAAACAACTGTAATTGAAACTGAGGCTGATGGGCTATTATTTTCTTCTGCAGGCTGTTGAATTTGTTGCATCAACCTGTAACTCAACAAATGTAATTTTTCTGATTGGTTAGTGAACAAATTCCCAATGACTCGGCAGTCACGTGGTGCTGGCCCCTAGCGCGTCTGACGCCTACTCGGGCACCGCGATCACGGGTCTCACGGATGCGCTTCACGCCATCGCCGACGCCGGCCCCGACGACGACATCGCGGCTCTGTGGCGTACGCTTGACGAGCACCTCGCTGCCGTCACCAGCATTATCTACAGCTCCGCTATGTCCCTCACGCTTCAGCTTTGGTGAACAGACTTCATAAACATAGTGATCTCGGCGCTGAAGTGTAGGCCTGATGTGGCCTGTCATGTTCTATAACCAAGAATTATTTAGTCCTGTGCAGTCATGGAAGATTAAAAGTCATAGATAAATCTTACATCTTCCGTTTTCTTTGTTGGGTTTTGAGCATAGAATCCTAAAATTTCGGTGAGTATGTCGAGTTTAAGAACGCCACTGTGATAAAACTATCATTTACTAGCAGCTAACCGAATTCTTAACAGAAGTTGTTGAAATTTATTTTTAAAAATCCAGTTTTCTCCATATTTTATTTCACCTTAAATCCTTTATTAAGCCTCGATTTACTTTTGAGACTTACTTGGTTTTCATAAGCAAAATAATTTATAAAACTAATATTATTGGACCTCTCGAATACTTTTCAGGACTGTCTCTAAGATTAAGTAGAAAGCAGAAATACGACCTGTGGGCGTATTTACAGAATACGCCTGTTTCCATGTATTTTTTTCTGGCAAAACTGCGTATGTGTATGACGTTTTATTTTCCTAAAATGTTCTATCAAGACAAACTTAAGTTTTTGGCATTCCGAGATATGAGGGGGATGATTTGTACATATTAATTCACTAAATTTTCTTTCCATTTGAGATAAATAAAATCTTCATCCTTTAATAGGGTTAAATGATCCTTTCGAGATCGGTTTGAAATCACACAATGCTGTGTTTTCCGGATCACGTCTGAATGTTTAACACTTGAAATATTTGGTTTAACAATCTGAAACTTTTGAAAAAAGACAGCATTAGAAATATATAAACTATTTTAATAACAGAGATGATTCGAATTTTCCCCTCTCAATGCATTTAAAAATATAAGAAATTTGAAGCAAAATTAAATTTTGAGATTCAGTAACCGCGGAAAACGCGGTTACAGCCAAATTTCTTCATAAGAGATTCCATTCCGTTTATGGAAACGGCGTTCTCCGTTCTGCCGAACGGCGATCGTGCTGATGCTGTAATTGCTGTCTCCTCGATAGTCATTAGTAGGTGATGGGATCATTTGGATGTAACCTTGTTCGTCGAAAGGAGTGATGATATATCTTTCTCGCTAATTTGTTCTCAAGTTGATGCTTTTTTGCGTGTCATTTATAAAGAAAGCCCGCGCCGCCGACTAAGGCAAACTCAATAATAAAAACATAGTAGGGCTATACCTGTGCCTGTCTCACTCTCATCTCGCATACAGCCAACACAGTAACACTCTATTTTCAGCTATGGAAACTGAGGTAAGGTTCTATATTTTTTATCATTTATGGTATATTAATTGACATTCCCTGTAACTTCAGCAGCTACTAGCTAGCCCTTTTTTAAGTGCTCATTCATAATTTAGGTAGTTGTAATGACAGGAAATGTTTCGGTATTATTGCAGATTAACTACATCCAAAAAAAAGGGTGTTTTTTTTTTAATTATATGTTTTTTGGGGTGTAGATTACGAATCTGAAATCCATTTTAAAAAAAACACCCTTTTTTTTGGATGTAGTTAATCTGCAATAATACCAATGTTTCTTTCTGCAAATCAGGCAGTATTTGTTTATGTGCAGAATCAGGCAACACCTGAATGAGACCAAAATGCATGTGCTTGCAGTCAATATTATTCATTTTTATATATATTGTCAGTGAGGCTTGTCTTGTACCATACCCAGGATGGTGCCGGTTTCCGCGGATTAATCCGGCGTAAACGAGGCTCCAAGCCCAAACCCCTTCTACTGGCGTACAAAGAGCTAAAATAACGTTATTGGCGCACACGCCCGGCGTACGTCCGCATCTGGCTTGTCCCGACGTACCGTACGTCCGCATCTGGCT